GTCCTGCCGGACGGGTTGGCCATTCGAAATGCAGCCAACTCGAAGACACACCACAGCCTTTGGCTCGGGGCTTGAGGCTTGGGGGTCAGACCTTAACTCACCTACCTTTTTAAGGACGTATATATAATACAGAAACCATAATAAGGAACCCTAAAAACCGGTAGGTTATTTGTGGGTCCAGGTTAGGCTTCGGTTGAAGTTTCGGGTGAGTCTGAGGCTACGATTCCCGTGGCGTGTCCCGGCGTCTGATGTAATGTCTGCGCTGTTTAGGGTTTACGCTAAACCCTAAACCCTAAACCCTAAACTTTAGGGTTTAGGATTCAGGCTTTAGGGTTAGTGTTTATGGCAAGTTCCGGATATAGGGCTTAGGGTGAAACGCCTTCGAGCCCGTTGGTGATTGCCTACAGAAAGAATGTGGGGTTTTGTTGGGCCACGGTTTAGGGTTGAGGGTTTAGGGTTTAGGGTTTAGGGTTTAGGCGTTTTGTTGGGCCTTTGAGGGTGTAGTAAGATTCCGGGCTTATGGGTTTAGGCTTCAAGGTTTTGAGCGGTTCTCAAGCAGGTTGGGCAGGTTTTGGCAATTGCACTTCGACGAGACTGGGTAACGCATAAGGATCGAAATATTACGGAAGAACCCCTCCTTATCGCCCATATCTTGCTGCTTTGGCCACCCCACACTGAAATCCCTGCTGTAAAACATCAGAGCCTAAAACCCTCATGAACACTAAACCCTGAATCGTAAACCCTAAAACCCTCATAAACACTAACCCTGCATAAACCCTAAACCCTAAACCCTAAAACCCTAAAACCCTCATAAACACTAGCCCTGAATCCTAAACCCTCCACCCATCAACTCGAAACTTCGGATCTCCAGCACGGGCCTGGTAAGGTAAGGTGCGGAGTATAGGATCCTCAGCTCCTAGAAACGGTTTAGGGTTTAGGGTTTAGAGGGCTTAGGGTTTAGGGTTTGTTTAGGGTTTAGGGTTTAGCGGGCTTAGGGCTTCGGGTTTAGAGGGTCTAGGGTTTAGGACTTAGGGTTTAGGGTTTAAGCAACTATAGACTTCTGTTACAAAATGGTTCTGCTAAGGCACAAGCACCCCCAAAAAAGTAATCGAGTATGGTTTTCAAAGTTCGGGTTTCGGAGCTAAGGATTCGGGTGTAGGGCTCAAGGTCCATATAATTTGATGGGACGAAGACGAAATAGGCGTTTAAGCCATCACATATACCTTCATCATATTGAAACCTGGATCTATATCTGTATCTGTATCTAGTATATCTATATCTATATCTTTACATATATATATATATAAGTTACGACCTATTATTATTGGTTGTTTGCGGGGGGGGGGGGTAACCTAATTACTCTGCGCGCGCCCTACTTTGGTTTGTCAGGAGCAACTCTCACTCGAAATATGGAGGCCCCAATAACTATATTGTTTCGGGGGTTCCTTATTTTTCAGTTACAAATATTGGGCCCCAAAACCCTGCTCTAATTATGAAGGCCCATGGTAGACCTTCTAGAACCCTTCAAGGACCCCTTTAAATTAAAGGAACCCCCAAACCCTATTTTCCTCAGTGGTTTGGGCTGGATATCTGGGTCTGGCACTTGGAGCATCAACACAAACCCTTGAAGCATCGGGAATAATGACCATAGGAAGTTTCTATGACCTCCTAAGGCCTAAACCCTAAGTGTTTCAAACTTTAGTTTAAGGGTCCATGTACCCAAATAGTATATACTTTGGCCTTAAAGTAGTCCCTATATAGGTACTTTGATGCCAAAGTATGTAAATCATAAATTGCAGTGGGATAAAGTTTTCGTAGGCCACAACCTTCAGCCCCGATCTCCGACGTAGGTTGCACAACCTGGATCCTCAATTTGAACTCTCAGCATTTCTTCCAGCGTGAAAAACGGTTTCGGGTTGAGGGCTTTGGGTTTGGGGCTAAGGGTTAAGGGTTAAGAGACCCCAAACCGAAATACCCTGCACCCTCAAGATAGGCACTGCGAAGTCTGGCTCAACCAATCCTGTTCCCCCTCGATCTTCCAAGTCCAGAAGCAATAAGTCCGCACGATGTTTGTTTGAGCAACTCCATATTTATCAGAACAGAACCACCAACTACATGTATGTATGTAGGTATGTATGTATGTATGTATGTATGTATGTATGTATGTATGTATGTATGTGCGTGTTTGCTTGCTCATGGATGTTTTTACCTGTTTGTTCTTATTACGTCTTTATTTATGTTTGCCTGTATGTATCTATGTACGTACGGCTTTACGTACGTATGCATGCATGTATGCATGCAATGCGATGCTATGCGATGCAACGATACAGTTCCATGCCATGCAATGCGACACGAGGCAAGACAAGGCGGGGCAAGGCAAGGCAAGGCACCGCAACATTATAATATCTTGAGCTATGCTACGTCGCAGTACGTTATGCTGAGTTGCACCTGAACCCTTATTCTGATCTTTATGATGTCGTTGCAAAAAAAATTATGTGGGCGTATATGTTAGGGCATTGAAAAGGTCAAGGTTCCTAGATTTCGGGTTTGCGTGATTCGGATTGCGGGCTTGGAGTTTCAGGATCAAACACCCAGAAGACTACAATCTCCGGATCTCAACCCTGCAGCAACCCTATACACAAAACACTATCCCTGTGCTCAGCTCATCGTCCCTGAACATTGCATCGTGGTCGTCGAGGGCTGCAGTGATTTACTTAATTTTTCCAATACAAGACGTAACCCGACTACAGCACCAACTCACGTACTGAATGCACACTCAGCGGATAATGCTTACCACTCCCTGCTAACTGTTCAATTATGTACCACACTCACTACTCAAGACTTACAACTTGTTACTTGCTATTCACAACTTACCAACTATGTGCTTCTAACGACGACGTCGACAACGACGACGACTACTGCTGCTACTACTTACTACTACAACTCACTACAACTTACTGCTACTACGACTGCCACTACTACTACTACTACTACTACTACTACTACTACTACTACAACTTACTACAACTTACTACAACTTACTACAACTTACTACAACTTACTACAACTTACTACAACTTACTACAACTTACTACAACTTACTACTACTACTACTACTACTACTACTACTACTACTACTGCTACTACTACTACTACTACTACTACTACTACTACTACTACTACCTACTACAACTCACTACTACAACTCA